GGCAACCCAATATCATCGGCCACTACATCTGTCAGTGCTTGTGCCCATCCCGTCGATGGCCCCAAGCCTGTCGGTGCAGAAAAAGCCGCTGAGTTGACCAGAAGAGAAAGACATGCAAACGCATGTGAATTCAAGATCCCCAAAACAACATGAACATCAGACACCACTATCGCATGCTAGCGCTTGCCCTCATTACGGGGTCTGAAATGTAGGGAAATCGCCCAGAGAGGGAGGGGCATCGGAACACAACTCAAACTTCCTTCTTGAGCATGTTTTCAGGAATAGAGTCGGCGCTCCTTTTCAGAGTGTCACTAATGCCTCTAAGCGGAATACAAATTTCTTGAGGCCTCAGCATTGCGACATCCCCACCGTGTTCTGCCACAGGTCCTTTGCATTGCCATCTTTTGTTTCACACGAGAAACCTCAGACAAAACCGTCAGACTTAAGGCTGGAGCATCTTAGGTTTCAGGGCACGGAACTACCATCCAAGGGCATTGACGGCATCAAATGCTGTCTCGGCCGCAGTGCCGCGGCTCGCCAACAGCTTGGGCATCTATCCCCAGCTCAACCAGACAGCGCTCTGCCGCCTGGGTTGACACCTGTCTGCCAGTGCCCACAAGACAGCACGGAGAAGAGATGGGATGCTTCCACGTCTATTTGCCCGAGACCTGCTATGAGTCAAGAGGCCGAAAAGGTTGGGTGGGAGGACTAAGTTTCCAGATAGTCTAGCTCTGAAAACGCCCCCAGCGTAGCACCTCGACTGAGCGGTCACCCGAACACGCCTTTTGCAAGCTGTCCGTCGTGAAAAAGGAAAATCGGATCCCCGCTCGCCTCGCTGGCATGGCCATCGCGACCGTAGCAACGAACTTCTGAATGGCAACTAGGACCCCAACGTCCTGGCACCGCCAACTTCGGTGCTCAACCAAGGCACAACAATAATTAGAACCTTTGCAGTTTCAATAGCTGGATATAGCTGGATGCTCCCGATCCAACTCTGGGAAGATACTTCTGGCAGCTACATTCGGGCGCGTCGCAAGATGTGGCCAGCCGCTCCTGGATGCTTTGGCGCATGCTGGGACCAGCGGCGGAGAAGCAGGGCTCCTGACCGAAACACATCGTTCGATTGGGCTCGCAGTGTGAAGGCTTCGGTGGCAATTGCGGGAGACTGCACCACACACACACACACACACATATCTGCAGTCCTGTTCGCGGCACACAGATCCAGACATGGACAGCTCGGTGAAGCCTGACGGGGAATAACACAGTGGAGACCAAGTCCACAGAAGCAGCCGCAAGCAATGCAGGTGCCCAGATGTGGCCAGACCAGTGATTGGTCTGTGCATTCCGGACCAGCTGTGCAAGAGCCCATGAAGATTTCGGAATCGCAAGCGCAGGCCCAGTCGCAGCTCACCATCCAAGCACTCGGCCAGCGAACGCGGCCCACAAAGGACCTAGGGATGACAAAACGTCTCATTGCTGCGGTGACTGCTCTTGCTCCCAATGTCGTTGCTCTGAATCCCCAACGAACTCGCTATCTTCAAAAAACAGCAGTAGCAGCAGCAGCAGCAGCAACACGACCACCACCCCTGCTGCCGCCACCACCACCACCAACAACGTGCGGGCCTGAAGGAGACTGCAGAATCAGCACTGTTGGTCGTGGACTGAAGGCCTAGAGACCTTTGTCTTTTTCGGAATCGGAAATGTCTACTTACCATGAAAACGCTACAGTAAGAATCACCGGCGAACCATCGGGCACACACTAACACGGGAGGGGCTTGATGCAACGATGAGATCGACGCCGAACAGAATAAAGGCCCTGCGAGCATACGGTCCTCTTTCTACAGTGTTCAAAAGAACGCTGCTTGGCATGTAGCGGTCGAGGAGGATCTGAACTTTGCAGCAACAGCCCAGACGTGCATGGTGCAAGTAAACCGTAAACCTGAAGGTGTACAGTATACTACTGGGAGAGTGTGGGGCAGCTCCAGTATCTAAGCTTGTCTGTTGCCCCTGGGCTGATCAACTCGTAAAAGAAGCAACCCAAGTTCACGCCTGCAACTTCCATGGCCCGCTAGAACACGGTTCCGCCGCCCTTGTTACACCGCGTTACATCAGTTTATAGCCAGCGAACTTAGGGAGGTTCACTTCACGACCGCAGAAGAAAATGCAACCGGACACAGTGCAGCTGATCGACATGGCCCTTCTTGTCTAGCACCTCCACCAGATCTTCTGTGGCTGGGACGCCGCCTGAGCGAAAATACTTTCAGAAGACGACGATTGACGCCGAGATGGGCCGAGCGGCGCTGCGGCTCGCGGGGCCTGGCTCCGGGAGGCGAGGTCATCCCGGAGAGGTCCGAACAGACGTCGAGCCTCCGCAGCTGCAAACCGATAGAGAGGATTCTGCAAACACATTTCGTCGTTCTTCACCAGGTCACCCGCACGGCAGCGCGAAACTTCTCGCAGCAGGGAGCTTGCCTGAGATCGAGATACAAGTCATCAGGTGCGGAGAGCAGGCAGGAGGAGGCTCTCAATTTGCACCTGTGTACAGCTTCATTATGCATGGCGTGCATAGCAGCGTAATTCTTGTGTTGGATTCAAGCACCAGTCGGAAAAGTCTGACACACTCGAGGCCCTTCCCATTTTACCGGTCACTGTCTGTCGCCATCCACGAGAGTTCCACATGGCACCCCTCCGCCACCTCGCTGCTCTGCAGCAGCACGCTCTGCCAAGCGAGCCTGCAGTTCGGATTCGCAAAGTGCCAACCTAAGCCCAGGCTTTAGCCCCGTGCCGTCTCCGCATCCAGGGCAACCCCGACAAGGGTCTGGAAGGCCTCGTGAACTCCTGGGGCTACAGGCCAAAGGCCCCACCGAACACCGAATTGCGGTAGAGTCCTTTGCCAGATCGAGCAGAAGTTTGCACCAGGGTCAATCCATTGGCTTCTGCAAAGGACTTGGCCTCCTCCTTCCCAGCCACGCTCAAACAAACTGCTGAGAAATCTCTGACTCTCGGGCCTTTCGCTTGTATCTGCTAATGCTGACAGTGACATGACTAGTATTATCTGAGTCTTTTCATGTCTCTCTGCCCCGTATACACGGTTCCCACGGCCGTGCCTTCGTCACCGCTGGCTCACCTGCATCGATCTTTGTCGCCTCAGTGCCAACCAACTCCAAAAAGACGTCACGTCGTGTCTCCGGCGTGAGCCGCCGGTAAATCCGATAGTAAGCGGATTGCGGTCGAGCCTCGCAGAGGACACACGCAAGTGTCGCCTTGGAAGAAACATCTGAGCCAGAGATCCTGAGATGAAGGAGGGGTTTCAGGCAGCTGAAGCTGTAGACTCCCCAAGCCGAGAACTCAACCTGTGCCACCGTGGATGCAAACCCAGGAGTTCCCAGAGGGCTGAGTTCAGATGTTTAGGTGTGTTCCGATCTGGGGACAAGATTTGGATTTTAAATGCTCACCATGCACGGAAGCATTCTCCTCAGGCCAGTAGCTCCATATGGCGATCCATACGATGACGGCAGAGTATATGCCAGCATCGCAGAAATGTCGTTCGGTCCCTTGCAGATTGCGGCAGCTTGAAACTGTCACCAGTGCACGGGACACAGCAAAGATTAGTAGTGGCTGGCTCGTACAAAAAACAATAGCCCCTGAGCTTGGTTCAGCCCATGCATGGCAGAAAGGCGCAGTGCTCAACGCTTTATCAAGTAGTACTGGCATTTGCACTTGTGTGATGCTGAGCATGCGCTGCACCTGGAGTCGTAGCAGAGGAGCAGTCCGCAGACATGCCTCCAAGCTCGAGGACTCACAACTGTGGGGCAAAAGTACGAACTGTCGCTGCTAAGTCTTGGATTCCTGCCACCTACTCGGGCACCCTCCCGCCTTCCACGCGGCATCTCGCCTTGCACAAATGCAGCATCATCACATCATTTCCAACGGCTCACTGGGCAAGAACGGATTTTCTGATTGTTCTTCTCGCGTCTTCTCTGCTTTCAAAAGCTGAAGAGTTCGGTTCACGAGGCAGCGGCGATGCACTGGCTCGCGGCCTGGAGACAGCAGACAGCAATCTCCACCCTTCGTTGCGACAGAGGATGCTCAGCATGTTGTGGTGCCATGTGGAGCCCAAAATCAAGCACCTCCTATTTCGAGCAATTCGAACTCCAAGCCGTGTTGAGGAAGCAATTCTCGAAGACCTCAACAGCACATAACAGCACCAGCGTTTACGTGACAGCCTTTGGACATCTTTGAACTGAACTTCCTCAGAGACCGTCTTCCATGCAAGCGAGAGTCTGGGCCTGAGTGCATTGTCTGGTTCCAGACGATATGTTCCTGCCACATTGGTTCTTTGTGCTTGCGACCGACGTCTTGATGAAAGACTTCGTGGCAACCCACGATCAGCGCGGTCATCAAGTCTAGCTGCTGTTTTGCCAGTGGGGTTGAGCAATGGGATCAATCGAGCCATGCTGCTCCCGCCTGACGCGGCACCAACTGTCGGAGGCGGGTCAAGCTCACCTCTGCTAGCGGATTGGAGTACACTTACATGCATTGACAAACAAAACGAATATGTTGCTAGGAGTTCACGATCAGGCCCACACAAGTGTCTCGAAGCAATCGTTGGACGAGACATGTCCTCGAGTTTCGAGAATGCCAACGATGAAAGATGTTGCTGGGACCACTCGCTTGCTCGGAACGGCGACCGTCACAATGCATGCGCGGTTCTTCCCTGCCCCTGCTGACCCGACGACCAGTAGCACAGGCGGCTGGGCATCAACCATAGCAGCCAAGCGCTGCGCTCTGGCAAACTTTTCGCCCTAACATGCTCTAGCGTCAAGCAGTAGAGGACATACCGTGACAAATGAAGATGACTTCTACCGATACGAATCAAGTTTTCTGTCCGGCTAAATCCATGTGGGAGCATGCTGGAGCCAATGGCCTCAATCAGTTCGTTGACGTCGGCCCGCAAGCTCGAAATCTGGAGAATCCCCAACTCAAAGGGCCAGGTGGGCTCGAGCGCAGGTGAAAGACCTTCTCGAAGCCGCGGCGCTCTGCCTGGGCATTTGGTTGGACCATTTGGACCCTTCGGATTCGGCTCGGCTTCCCTACAGCTGCAAAAGCTTAACACCAGGATCATGACTTACGTCCCGTTCCATAATGCAGAACTGCAGAAACTGACGTTCGGCATCGGCATCGTTATGCAGAGCCCCCTGCAGAAGGCATGTTAAAAGGAGTCACCCAATGCTTGAAACCGCAATCTTTACACGATACTGGCCAACCCTACCTGTGAACTGTAACAGCTTCCAATCAACAGGTTGTCTTACTCGGTATCGTTCTGCTCAAACCCTCGCACATGTGCACGCACTCGTGACCACCGTTCCCACACTTTCGAAACGAACAGAGACTCAACCCGAAAACCAAACTTGGAATGTTCGCCAAACGCAGACTAGCTGACGCAGCACACTAAAGCTGACGGCAGAAAGGGGGACCCGTCAGATCCCGTTAGTACATGTCGGCAGCGACGGGCAGGGTACCACAGCCAAGCGCAGGGGAACAAAGAACTCAAGATCTGAGAGATTTGATTGCTTGTAGAGCTACTGGTAGCTTGGAGCTGCATCACACCCAAGATTTTGTTTTGAAGTGTGAGAACCGCTTGGCATGCCTGCCCAAAAGCCCTGCGCTGCCATCAAGCAACTGAAGAGGTCCCACCTCGGAGAGCTTGTCCGGTGTCATAGACAGGACAAAGTGCACCGAGTTCTGCCAGGGCCCACATCGCATCACAACGAGCGTTCGGGCTGCGTGAGGCTCTGGGCGTCGCCTCGGAGTGGTACTCCCGGAGCTCTGTGATGGATGCACGCCTCCCGAAGCCGAGGCATTCAACTTTGAAGGCGCTGACCCGCAAATTGCGGCAATGAGGAGCCTCTCGTCCCCTGGCTTCGGGAGCTGCTCCACCAGCCAGTCCTTGTAGTCCTCGCACTGGCAAAACCCCCGTGCCGCGACTCCACTTCCGCTTGTCTGCCTGTCCTGCGTCCACCGTCTGGGCGGAAGCTCGGTGATCTCCAAGCGAACTCGACCCTTCCTGGCCCGTCTCGCAAGCGCCTAGCGGCCCAGCCTCGCTATGCCTCGCTGGACGCTGGCTCCAATCATCGAGGCCGCTGCTGGGAGGCGACTCCCAACGCTTCATACCTTGAAAGCCCCCAGCACGCCGCTTGACGCGGGATTCTAGATTCAAGATGGCGCTAGATGCTAGCCCGCAGCTGAGTTTAGCACTTGCCAACAGAGCCTTCGATGCTGCGCACCTCTGCTTTCGACTCATGCCGAACTAAGCCTTTCTTCGGCGCGTCGTCCAAGGTACGCACAGTCCCCTTGAAGCCGCGGAACCAGGGCGCCATGGGCTGCATCGTTTCCCTCAGAGCACGACGCGAGTTCCTACTAGAAGCCGCTCTGACATCAAGACCATTAAGAGCCACCACGCCATGCTACGCCCTAAGCGCACCGTCGTGCGCTATACCAGTTTCAGGAATTTCTTGACAAACATGATCATGTTTGGCCCATTCCCTCGGCTCGATTTTTTTGGCTGCGCCACTGGTACAAAGTCGTGTGAGCCGCAACTTTTGCGGTCAGACACCACAGCTAGCCCTCACCCAGGAGGTGCTTTAGCACAAAGGCAAGCCGCACAGTAGTGAGGCATCGTACGCCGCAACTTTTGCGGTCAGACACCACAGCTAGCTCTCACCCAGGAGGTGCTTTAGCACAAAGGCAAGCCGCACAGTAGCGAGGCATCATATGCCGCAATGTCTTCCACTCATCACCAAAACCAGTCTGCAAAAAGAGGCAGCAGACGAGTTCGCCGCTGCCCTAAGGTCCTGAAACAGCAGAGGCGCTTGCACACGTTCAAATCAGCACAGGGAAAAACTGCAGCACAGTGCGAATGCAGGATTTTGCGTCATCGGTGGCATCGGACAAGGCAGCCAAGGCGGCGACTTCTTGTAGATAATTAATGCTCCAAGGTCACCATATGTAGAAGACGAAGCCGCCACTGTATGTCCGCAACTGTTACACCCTTGTGGTAGGCCGCGACTGCACCTCCTCCGCGAAGACTGCCAGGGGTCACCGAAACGGAGCCGCGCAGACCCAGCGCGTGAAGGCACCGATCCCAGCGTGTCCGAAAGGCAGAAGGGCTCAACGGAAAAAGCCTGTCAGTAGCATCCAGCTCGCCGAAGGCAGCGCGAATCAGTACTAGCGCGCGAGGATCGTCAACACGGATGTGCTGCACCTTCGGGCTCCCGCGCGACAACGTCTTAGAAGAGTCGAAGCACAGGAAGGCCGCACAGGTGTACTGAAAAGTGTCCTCCGGTAACAGCAAGTGACGTCGTTGACAAGCCGAAACCTCGCCGATCCGAGCCATGCCGTAAAAAGGCCAACAGCGCGCAGCCAGCCCACCTCTTAAAAACTCTCAACCAGGCCAGCGTCACCATAGCCAGCAACAGGGGCTCCGGAATGGGTGTCCTGTGTACTGTTGGCTCGATCGCTTCCCATCTGAGCTTGCGCCAAAGTGGCCTGTACGTGTGCTTAGGCGCGGAGGGCCATGGCAGCTAAGACTGGACAGGCGACGAGGGATCACCAGCGGGAGACCCAACGGGGAGGAAGCCGAACCACGCAGAGGAGCCCAAGAAGATCGGAGAGTCTGACTGTAGCTGACGCGACTCAAGGTCACCGGCCCGCCTGGCAGGGGGCCTGCGCGGGCGGCAAGAGCAGCCCAGCTTGGCACAGGCACAGGGGTCCAAAGGCCGCGCCGAAGTCCATTGAGCAGCGGAGCAGATCGACTCCCTTTGCAGAGTCGTCTTTGGGTCGTTGCGAGAGATTTTGCCGGCAACATCCTTGAGCCAGTGAGGGTGCGCCAGCCCTCTGCCGAGTGCGCTCAACTTGCGAAGCGTGGCTCGGATTGCGGCGACAGTGTCTGCGGGACTGCCGGCCCGGCAGGACGTGATTTCGGTGTGTGCGGCGGCAGGCCTGCCCTTGCCCAGCACTTGGTGAGCTGGCTGACGAAGCCGATGGTGAAGCCGGCGGTGTTCCTGACGACCTTGACGGTGAAGCCTTGTCGGCGAGAGACTGCGCAGCCGTCGGGAAAAACTTTGTCGATCCCCTGTGCCCGCTATGTATCTTGCCACGCGGCTTGGACCCAGAAGGCCAGGAGGTTTCAGTGCATTGCCTGGCGGCGGGCGAGCTGCAGGGAAAGCTGTTGCTGTGCTTGCCGGCGGCCAGCTGGCGCCACAAGGTTGCCGAGCGCACCGTCCCTCGAGGTTTTCTCAGCAAGGTTTTCGGTGCAGAGGTTGCAGCTGCAGCGTCGACCGGACAGTCGGAGTTGCCGGGCAGACGGTTCGAGTTTGGCTGGGCTTGTGCGAGGGCCACGCCGAAGCCGCGATTCAAGTTGCTCCTCCCTTTGGTCGATGCCTTGGCCGAGCTTTGAGAACGGCAGTTGGCAGGTGGCTTGTCCACTCCTTTGCAGTCAGCCACCGAAGGCCCAGACGTTGCACCCGGTTTTTCCGAGATTATGGGTGCCAATTTGGGGGGCAAGCTACACCCGCATGGATGCGAAAGAAGCCGACATGACCGTCGGCAGGGACACAAACGGAAAGGGCGGTGCACACATGTTCCACGATGTGGTGGGCGCAAGCGGAACGAGGAGCTCCAGAGGCATAACACAATCTGGGAGGGCAATGCACGATGAACAGCGAGCACGGGCACGATGGCTTCAGCAGGGCCAAAGGCTCAATCTGCTGCTCCCGCCGCTCCTACCGCCCAACGTGTGCATGCCTCAGGGTCCATTGCCGCGGCAGAGAGCAGTTATCCAGGCCTCGATCAGTCGGCCCGGAAGGCTTTGCGAGACTCCCTGACTTTGGCACCGCGCGAGTTATCGACTCTGATAGAAACTCTGATGGCCGAGTGCTTGTCAGCGAGCACTCCAGGTGCTGGGTCGCCGGCCCTTACCTCAACGCGTGCATGGTTGGAGCACCGCAGCCGCGTACAATCCTTTCCGACCAAAGACTTGGGCTATTGCCGGGGCCTCGACTGCTTTAGAAGTGGCAAGACGGAGCAAGCCAGAGCTCGCCTCAACATCGCCCTCCTTCAGGCCTATCAATGCTCGATAGATCGGGGCAACTGGCTGTTAGCCCAAGAGTTGTCCTTAGAGTTGGCTCCCCCCAAACCCTCTTTCCGAAAAGCACGAAGGCCCAGCTGCAGCCACGGATCCGGTGTACAGCGGGCTCCTCGACCCCGCGTTGGGCCGAAATAGCCCTTAGGTTTCGAAGTTGAGAGAAGAGGCCGAGTTCATGGATCGCGGGCAAAAGTTGAACCACCGAACCCAGACCGTGGACAGGGATGCGCCGGACGCGCAGACGCCAAGACTCCGGAAAAGCTTCCGCGAAAGCCGGCTCCGAACTGGCACATGTCGGCACGGAAGGTATCCCTGCTGCGGGGGAAAGCTTCAAGCCCAGCCAGGCTGCAACCAAAAGAAAGAGGTGTCAGGCTGCACGAACCAATACACGAGCTCTTGCTCGCTGCACAAATCCAGCGAGCGATCGCATTGTTGTCTGCACGGACCTTGGCACGCTGGAACGGAGAAATGCTCCAAAGGCCGCCGGGCTGCGCCCTAGAGCGAAGCGGGGGCCGAACTGCTCTGAAGAAGGAGTGGGCAGGGGGAGCGCCCCCCACGACCATGCACGCACGCAACTCAAGCAACAGCTGCACACGCTCACGCACCTCCGTGTCGCCTCGGCGCTACGAGAAGCGTCGCAAGACAGAACCCAACCAGGCCCATGGCGAAGGAGGGCATTGACAACAGCGTGCGCAGGCCCAAAGAGGAGCAAAGCACCGAGCTGCGCCAAGTCCAGGGACACACCAGTTTGCCACGCAAACTGTCACACTGGGATGGCTTGCAGGGCCTTGACAGCTGGAGCTGTGGACTCGTGGGTGGGCATCAAGGAGCCGACGCTCGTGGCGGGCCCGCAGCTTGGCCCTTTGAGGTGAAGGACGGGCTTGCAGCGAAGACAAACCTTTCTCCCTATTGGACCGCACCCAATAGGAGAAGATCCTCTTGATCAACGGCTTTTCTGGAAGCAGCGGGATCTCAGAGAGGAAAGCATCAAAGCGAGAGGCGTCACCACGTTCCAAGGCAAGCCACCACGCAGGCTTCTGCATCGAAGGTGCGCGCACTGCAAGGTGCCTGGCGGGATCATCCGCCGGATTCAAAGCGGAGGGCAGAAAGAGATACCCAGGAAAAAGCCTGGAGCCGAGGAGCGGTCCAAGCGCAGCACGGAGATGCCGGTTGAGCACCGGACTTGCGGACCTGCCTTTCGCCAGTGCGCCGAGGCACACTTGGGAATCGAGACGGGTCGACCAGACGAGACTCGTCCTGCACATCTGTCCTCCTCGTGCAAGTAGGCCTCGAGTTCGGCAACGTTAATCTTGCGGGTCCTGCGTTCCCTCCTCCAACGAGTTTTAAAGGTGGGCACACGAGCAAAGCACTCCGCAGGATGGGCCGAGAAGAGCATGTCTCCTGGCAACTCGGCCTCCGGCTCTAAAAGACAATGCTGCTTAAGCTGCGCAGAAGGGGCAGAGAGCAGCCGAGTCCAGGCACCACGCTGCAACGAATGCCGAACCACAACGTCGACCGAAACCTGCGCAAAGAGGGCGGCCTGCCAAGAGCTGGAGGCATCGGTGGCGAGGACAGTGCCGAGCGGCTGGGCACGCAAGTCAACGACAGCGAGGTGACCGAGGCACACAAAGGAAGCCAACTCGTCGGCGAGCTCGGGGCTCAGGCGCAAGATCGCTTGAGGAGCTGAACCCAGCACGGCGCGGAAGCACAACTCAACTATAAGCAAAGCATGCGCCGCCGCAGCATGAAGACCGAGACCCAGGAACCGAGGAGGCTCTCCAAAAGGGCCCTGGTGCACAGACCGAGCTGCAGCACCCTGAGAGTGCAGATCAGCACAAGCGGAGAAGGGCTGGGCCGAACAAGTCCAGTTCGACCGCAGCAGTCAACACCCCAGAAGGAAGCCTGGGTCTGCTCCCGAAAAGTCTTTTTCTCACTGTACCTCAAGTAAGCAGCGTCGTAGACAGTAAGCGCGGACTGCAAATGAGCAGCGCCGGCCGAAGAACCGGGAGCTGCTTGTAAGCTCTCGAGCTCGTACTCTAGGCACCGCTGTAAGATGATCAAGTCGTCAATGACCAACCAAGGCCGCAGAAGATCGGTGCCACTCAGAAGCCGGGTGCAAGACCACACCACCCAAGCACGCAGCACTTGCCAAGGATTGCACCCAGTGACCCGGAAAATCCTCAAGCAGGTTGGCCGGCCGAGCATCAAGCACGAGCCTGTCACGCTCGCCGTCCTTAGCAGCGCAAAAGAGCCCGGCGCCCCAAGCAGCGTGCGGTGCAGGCACAGAAGTCAAAGGCCTGAGTCGACCAGAGCGAGCCAAGGCTTGCAGAAGCAACAGTTTTTGCTTAGAGTCGGCCAGGATCTTTACGTTCTCTAGGTTTACACTACTGCAGGCAAACCGGAACAGAAGCGTGGCGCTCACTTCTTTTTACCGCAGAGGTTGCTAGGTCTGTGCGATGCGAAGCGCGCATTAGAAGTCAGCAGAGCAATGCGTGCGAAGCTAGACCCCCCAGGGCGTGGAGGGTGGGTGAGAAAAAAGATTCTCTATGCGGGGCAGCGAGAGCTAGCGGGGTCGGGGAAGCAAGAGCCGAAAGATGCTTTGCCAAGCAAGCTCAGTCCATCTCTTCAAGCTGCAGTGCAGGGCTGAGGCTATCAGTGGCTTCAGGCAGGCGCTCCAGGGCAACAATGCGTCGCTCAAGGCATTGGAGAAAATGCCACAGGCTATTCACTCTTTGTGCGAGGCAATCTATCCTATAATGAAGCTGGGCGCTGCATTCAAGCGTGTCTTCAGCAAGCTCCTGCAGTGCCTTAACGAGCCTTGCAGTTCTTGGCGAGTCCGGTGCAGAGCGCAAGGCCATGGCGGCGCGTGGAAACTAAACGTGTAAGGGCTGTGCAGCGCGACAGCAGCAAGGCGTGCTATGAGAAAAAAGATTCTCTATGCGGGGCAGCGAGCCCCGAAGTAGATGTGTTTCCTTAGGTTCGAGCCGAGCATTGCAGAGCGGTGCTATGTCGTGCCTTCGTGAGAACCTAAGAAAACACTGCTGACTAAAATACAAACGCACAGCGAGCGAAAGGCGCCACTCAGAGCAGGGGTCAGGGACCCGGGCATGGTGCAGCGGATGATTGAAAAACTCCGCGGTCGTGCGACCCACAAGGAAGAAGGCTCGAAAGCGGGCGTGGCCGGAAGCGACTGCCCACAACCTTCGCAGGGGACGGCCCCGACGTGCTGCAGGTTGCGGACCACTTGCCACTGCTTGCAGTTAAGAGGGACTCCGACGCGAACCGCAGGCCAGAGAGGGCGACCCACGTGCTCGTGGACAACCGGGCGTTTGCCCCTTCGGCTTCTGGAAAGGGAGCAGGGCACGGCCATGTGTAAGGCGTGGGAGTCTTGTTTGACTCCCGAGTGAGCGCAGAGCGAAGAAAAGAATCACAAGGTCCACGCTGCCCGTCCAGAGCCCTGCGCAGAAACAACCCGATCTCACGACAAGCGGCGGCTCGCTCAGTAGCAGTGTGACGGTCGCGGATCCTCGCACAGGCAAGGGAGGAGACATATTAGGGTTCCAGGAGTTAAGGGCATCGGCTGAGCGCGGGAGTCGGGTATATTGGGTACCCGTATGGGGTCGAGGTTCAATCAACGATACTACGGTGCTGGCTGGCTGCCTGCTCAGGGGCCACAAGGTCGAAGGAAGACCCCGGGTTTGTCGCTCCAGAGAGCTGCGCTTGCAAAGCACGCATCTGCTGCCCGAGCTCAACGACTAGATTCTCAAGGTGCTGCACGCGAAGTTCAAGGCTCATACACACGTACCTCACAGCAGCCGGTACCTGAAGGGAGGCCTAAGGAACCGCTCTAGCCGAACCCAAAGCAACCAAAGCAGAAGCTCAAGGGCCGGAAAGAGGAGAATTCCAATGAGGAGCCCGAGCAGCACAGATGGAATGTGAAGCTTCCAGGAAGGGAGCTCAAGAAAATCCAGTGATGGCACAGGGCAAACGGGGCAGTCCAAGAAAGGAGAAGGTTCGGCCTTGAAGAGAGGACTAAGATGGAGGAGAAGAGAGGTGACCGACAGACCAGCAGACTGCGAAGGCAGCCCTGCACGAAAGGTAGCTGGAGAAGGCTAGACGAAAGCTCGTCGGCCAGGGTCGGTCCAGGGCACAGCACTAGTAATAGCGGCATCGGTAACTGTCGCAGCTGGCAGCAGCAGAACAGCAGCAGCACTGGGAGTAGTGGAAGGTGGGGGGGCAGAGGAGAGAGCGGAGGGTACTAGGCACACGAGATCTACAGGTATTCCGCCCGGCCTGTCATCCGAAGACAAAGTTCATCATCCACAGATGGGCTGTGGTCTACGATAAGATAGAGTGCGAAGTCTTTAGCTTGAGGTGTTTTGGATGGCTTTCCGACTGCGTGAGTCCGAAAGCGGTACAGCGCTGGGTGTGTTTTTCACCAGCCTACAAGCACCTATAGATCCACCACATCGTCTGTTCGCCGGAAACGAGTCCGCCACTCGCTCAATTCACTGCTGGCACCGCGAGCGGAGACCATCTCGAACCGGCTTCGGACCCATCTTCAAATCTGCTTCACCCAAGCACCGTTCTCCACTCGCATCAGCACTAGGTAGGGTTCTCGTGTTAACG